TCTAGTGCCAAGGCCTGCCATGGGCAGGGACACCTCCCACTAGACCAGGTAGCTCCAAGCCCCATCCAGCCTGGCTTTGAACACTTCAGGGCTGGAACCTCCACAACTCCCCTGGGAACCTGCTCCAGTGTCTCACCAACCACACAGTAAAAAAATTTATTCCTAATATCTAACCTAAATTTTCTTTCTTCAAATTTATACTCATTATTTCCTGGCCTGTCACTACAAGACATCAGAGATGTTTCAAACTCAGCAAACTGGTGGCTAAAATTGGAAAGCAGCCCAAGGAATGGGTTAGAAATTGGAAGTCAGCCCCAAGGGATCTCTCCTGCAGGAAGGGAAGGGTCCGTGTCTTCTCCTGCAGCATCAGGAGTTGGTTGCATCCATCTCAGAGTCAGGGACTGGCATTGAGGCAGCCTTGAAAATACAGTATAACAGAGGGAATTTTTGTACTGAAATGGACATCTCTCCCCAGGCCATGAGAGCAGGCTGCCCCTGCGCCTCAGAGGGGAAGGCCAAGGACCCTTGGTTGAACTCGGCTGTCGTTCACTGAACCTTGGGAACATTTTAGTCAACACCCCCCACGTCTATGAGGTGAGCAGCAGGGCTTGGGATGGATCCTGATGGCTCCTGAGGCAGCAGCAAGCCTGGTGGACCTGTGGAATTCCTGCCAACCTGGGCAGTTGTGAGCAGGGGATATTTGACATACTGGTCAAATCTGGGGGGTCACAAAGGCGTGTCTGTGATTCATGAAGCCCCAGTCCCTGCTTTTGGGCAGCCTTCCTTGGGGATCAGCTGAGAGGCTTGCTGTAAAATAACCCCTTGGCATATGAAACCAACACTGGGTCAAAAAGCTGCTTGTTCAGAGGCTTTTGTGGCAGCTCCAGACACAAGGCACCTTTGTACTGAGCTGTTCAGAAGCAGCTGGAACAAACTGGCCACGTTTGAGCTTCAGTCCACGGCAAACAATTTTTCAGTCAAGTGTCTCCTGCTTATTCCTGGAAGTCACAGGAAAGCCATCCAGCCTCCTTACAAAGGGCTTGGGAGTTCTTCCCCTTGCTGACCAGTCCCTCACTTCAGCCTTGGTGCATCTCTGACTGTAGAAAGAGAAGACTGTCCCTGGGAATAAAGCAAAGGATTTTTCTACCTATTTGCCTCCCCTGCAATAGTGTCAAGTTTGCAAAAATAATAAAGAGAGAGCAACTGAAAGAGGTCGAAAATGAGGCACTACATCATGCCAGACACGTTCAAAAGCTTGGCTGTTGAAGGGAAAGACTTGCTGAGTTTTCCTACCAAAAGATGGTGCTGTCTATACATATGGATGCTCATGCCTCATTATCAACGTATTGTTTTCATTATATGGGAAAAGGCGACTAAGTTGATGGTACTGCTGGAGCTGTGCTAGCTGGGGCAGCAGCAGCTCTGTGGTGATTCACTGTGCAGCTGCAATCACCCCACGTTGCTCTCAGGGACAGGTCTGAATGAGCTTGGTGATGCTGACCAGAATCTCTGTGTCCATGGGATAACCCCAGGCTGATTCCAGTTATGTGGAGTTACCTCTGCTTTGCACGAAGGGAAGATTCCACATGTATTTCCATTTTGCTTTCTTGCTGCTGCAGGTGGAACTGATTAACCAAGGAGCTATTGATGCTCCCTTCACCTATATCCAGACAACCGCAAACGTGGGCTACTGCTTCAAGTTTGCACCTGAGGAGGGCATCATTGCACCAGGTCGGATCCAGACCATCCAGATCTCCTTCAATGCCACCATAGCAGGGAGGTTTGAGGAAGAATTCCAGTTCACTGTGGCTGGATCGCCTACGTCTGCAATCCTGACGATCAAGTAAGGGCTCTGGGAACTTGGTGGGCACATCTGTAGCTGTTTCTGCAACATCCCCCACCTGCTTCATTTTGGGGTTGAGCAAAAAAAAAAAGGTGTTGCCTGAGGTCCTAATCTTGGCTCTGGTTCTGGCATCCCTTTAGTGTGGGGGTGCCTGCTGCCCTGTGTGGGGATCCAGGAGCTGGA